CACACACACACACACACACACACACACACACAGATTCACAGATCGTACAGAGAGAAGAACTGTTTTTGCATGAAGCAGCTGAAGCTCAGGTTCAGGGAGATATGAAGATATGAAGATATGAAGGTAAAACTCAATATTACTGAAAACACAAACCACAGCTGCACCATTGAAACAAAAAGTCCACTTAAGAGATTCTGTTCACACACGACATTTCATCAGCACCAGATCAGAAACCTCATTTTCATAAGCACGTTTTGAAACACAACAAATCTTTGAGCCACGGAGATGAAACACAGACGTTTCATCCTGATTGGACAGAAAAGTCAATGAAGCCGTTTCCACACACAAAGATCAGTGTTGTTGTTTACAGCTCATCAACACCGTCGGCCGCCATTGTTATTTTCACCCACATTCCTTGTTCCGCTGTCACGGTCAGGGTGGGGGCTGGAGGAAGGAAAGAAGGAAGGAGAGGAAGAGGAGGATGAGGAGGATTCACCTGTTGAGTGCAGTGGTGGGGAGACGGAAGGACTGGCTTTTATCCCCAGGGAAGTTTCCGGACCAATTCCTTTTCGTGATCGACAAGAACAAAGAGTTATTTTCCTCCAAGAACATCGAAAAGAGGGAGGGGACAAAAAACGGAGAGAAGAAGAGGAAGAGCGCGGGCTCGGGAAGGCAAAAGCAAGCCAAGGCAGGTGGAAGATGGAAGCAGAGGGAGGCTGGCATGTCACGTGACAGGTTTGTGTTAACGTGCAAGTTTTGGTTCTGATAATTATCCAAACATTTATTAGGAGGTTCTGAATTTGAAGCTATTTCAATAATCAAGCATTAAAAGTATTTTGAGCAAAGATAATGAGACAAAGTTTTCTTCATTTTAAATGGTTGAACACAAAACGAACGGTTTGAAGAATCTAATGACGGAACAGAGAGTGAAGCTGCTTCTTCTTCGTCATTCACACACTTCACTTGACAAATCCCTGCTCAAGTATGATTATTGTGTTATAGTTGACAACACAATTTAACACACACACATTCCGAGTCTTCTCCAAATTCGCTGTGTCACCAGAAAAACCTGATGTTCAGAAGAAGGAGCTGACACAGTGACGACCAGAGCAGTGTGTGTGTGTGTGTGTGTGTGTGTGTGTGTGTGTGTGTGTGTGTGTGTGTGTGTGTGTGTGTGAGAGATGGAGGAGGCTAATCTCTCTCTCTGAAGGGAAGATGTCTTGTTAGAAGAAAGCGAGTAGGAACGCAGTCAAGCAGGAGACAATTAAACGACTGGGTCGCTGCAAGAAGAAGAAGAAAAGGTCCAAAAGGAAAAAGAAGAATCCCAGAAGGAGAGAGGGCAGAAGAAGGAAAACTACAAGTGACAGCTCTTCAAAACCAACTGAGGTTTGAAGAGACGCCGACTTTACTCAACTGAGTTTCCTGTTAGTTGTGCAGAGGTTAGTGAAGCCTCAGAACATCAAGACCTTTGTGAAGCCTCAGTGTCAGCACGTGAGATTCTGATCAGTTTCCTTCAATCAGAGAGAAGCTCTGAGACTACTGGGGGGGGGGGGGCACGAGCCTCAGCTGAAGGACATCATCGGGCAAACGACTGTTTTGGTTTTCACAGATTCTATCCAGATAAAAAAGGTTTCACCTCGGAAAGGAAAAAGTTTCCTCATGAGTTCAAATAATCAGAACTAAAGATGAACTTCAAGTCATCTGAGGTCACGTCCAAACCACACAACATGACAGCGTGAAGCTGTCTTCTGGATCGCCCCCTGGTGGCTGGCTGCAGTATAAGTCATACACCTGCCTCCTCCATGTTTGCAGATGGGACATGAACCAAACTAAAAAATCTAAGACGGTAAATGATTCCTTGTGCGTAACTCCCCCTGTAGACAATCTACTTCCTGTTTACACCACATGACCAGAGGTCATAAATGATCATGTGACATTTTATCAGCGCGGAACGTCACGTGTTTCTGTTTGAGGGTAAAACAGGCTGAAATTACAGAAGTGAAAAAAACATCTATAACTGACTTTAATTTTGATTCTTTAATGAGATCATTTCTGGCGAGTTCTCCTTTAGTGAGCTCAGAGCGGACCAGACTGACCGAGACGCCCAACACCATATAAATCAAATGCTAGAATAATACAATTAGGACAATAAGCTAATACAACAATTACAATTCAGTGAACAAACTTCAGCCGACCTCACGTTAACAACAACGTCGTCTTTTTATTGAATTTACTCAGTATTTTAGGTGAAAAAGAGTAT